GGGGGGGGGGGGGAGTGGAAGGACTGGGTACGCTCACGATAGAAAATGGTGGGGAAATCTGAGGGGTGGTACTGCTAGGTAGATGGTTTTACCTACTACGGGTCTTTACTACGCGAAGGGATGTTCACCCCAGGTCAATACACTATATATCGATACGTGACCCACAAAAATGAGCTTCCTTACTCCTACACTATATCTATATTCAGCTATGTAACCTATAGAGTATTTTATATCAACCCCTATCTCACGATTTTTCATCCCTTAAAAATCAATAGTCAAATCGTCAGACTTTACGATCAGACTGTCATTCATTTTTTAATACTGAGAAGGGGGATGGAAAATTTTCGTAAAAAAAAAAAGTTCACCGGTGGGGGGGGGGGTTAAATTTTTTGAGGTTTTTCGAATATTTCTTTTTATTTACAGATCCCGTTGGTGTTTCTTGAATCTGTTTTATTTTTTTTTTTTTTTTTTTTTTTTTTTTTTTTTTTTTTTTTTTTTTTTCGTTCTTGCTTTGTCTTTTTATCGATTCGAACAGACCGAAGGGCCATACTGGGGTTGAAGCGAGAGTGAGAGAAAAAATAGTAATTATCAAATTGCTTGATATTAACGAATTCGTTGGGGCTAAATCTAGTTACGATTCTAAGGGTGGCCATTTATCTGCCACTAATTCAAGTAACGCAAGGCAACCCACCCTATTACGTATTTTACGTGCTATTTTATTTCTTGGCCATTTTCGGGCCCTGGCCCTTTTACGAGTCTTTCACGTATGTAGGCATCCGTGTGAAAACGTCCCATTCAATCTCGTTCGATCAATTCCATTATCGAGAGCCGACAAAACGAAAATGGCCCATCGTGTGGAAGTGCGATGCACTTTGCACTGCGACGTGCATTATATTTTTCGGAAATTTTTTTTCAAATTTTACAACTTTCTTCCTGAAGGTCAGGGTTCTTGGAGGTGTGTATGGAATTGCGGGTAATTTCGGGGCTGCTGCAGGAAATCGTATTGGGAATTGCAGGGGTAGTTGCGAAACATGGAAGCAGCACTCGAGGGTTGCTGCTCCGAAGTTCATGAGGAATTTAAGGGAGAACTGGATATGCAAACGTCTCCAATCTGCATCTCTTGATTAAGAGGGTACCGATGCAACTGCAGATGCATTTACAGCTGCATCGAATTTTGGTCCTTGTTGCATCTGCTTTGGGTACTTCATACTAATAGATATATGTAATACATGACATAAACACTCGTGCTAACGACGTTAATATCAGGATATATGATAATAGAGACACGTGACTCGTCTGCATTGCAAAAATGCATTGAAATTTTCAAAGCTAATTGCATCTGTTAAATTTATTATACAAAAAATTTCTTTTTCCTATCGTGATTTGTACTTTGAAAAAAAAGTTCAGAATGGAATTTTGTGATATTTGTAAAATTTTGAAAAACATTCTCTAGTCTCACGTAACTACCGGGTAGTTTAGGGTAGTTTGAAAATTGGCCTCGGGATATCACAGAAGGAAAACTCAGACTTGAAGAAAAGATCCCATTTATCCTTGAAGGCTTCCGCGCTATTTGTCCTCTTGTCTCATTTGCTATCGTTCGCTCCTTTATTCACGTCGCCGACGTTCTTACGCGATTCATTCGACCAAATCCGGATTACTTCGGTTTTACATGGATAACGAATCCTGTAAATTCGCAGAAGACGTTTACAGGCCGATTGCGAATTATGGTTTTCGTAATATGCGTCACTTCCGTTATTATAAGCGAATCGCGATGAAATTAAACGCAATTACGCGTATCTGCTCGAAGTGAAATTTTTCATATAAATTTTATGTCCATTGATGTTCCTCGGTATCTTACTTTTTTGACTCATTTTATTTTTTCTTTTAATTCAAAACTTTTTCCACCCTTTCATATTCGTCTGTAGTCAATCTAAAAAAATTTCATTTTGCAGCATCTACTTTGGCTGCTCCCGATTAAAAAAGTTGCGGGCTCTCGAGCGTACGTAAATATTCTCCGACCTTAATGACGAAAGTCGTAAAGTCCTGTAAAAGGGTTGTTGCCGACACGAAGATATAAGTAGCTCGTTTTAATATAATTGATAATTAAGCTGTTGATTTTAATTGTATATATGAAAAACGAAAGAATCCTCACGTAATACCGTGTCAAAGTTTACCCACGTTGAGAGCCACTCTCGTGTAGAATTCTCAGTTCTCAGGTTTGCTGATCGAGGGATGAAAAGTGTGTGGTGGGGATGGCTGCGCGGTGCGGATGCGCGTCGGCATGTAAAGCCTGGCCGACTCTCAGAGCGAGCGTGAGTGCTCAGCGAGTAACATCTAGTCGGGTGCTCGGGCCGGCTTTGCCACTCGATTAGTCTCGATTATTGGCTTTGATTGTTTTTAAATCAAATCTATTTGAGCGAAGTCGAGTCGAGTTTGGTGAACGAGATAGTGCGGTTTTTAACGACGGAAGAAAAGATTTATTGCATTTATTTTTGTTATTATTTTCTCGAAGAAACAGTGAATACGATTATTTCGAACTAGTGAATGTGATATTTTGAACTTATCCTGGACACGAACCACAGTAGCGTTGAGGTTTGAGTCTGGTTTCCTCGACATCTGAAACTCGACACGAATCGGTTACGAGTATGTTAAATATTTTTGTTCTCTCCAATACAGTATCCCTGTACAGATTGACATATCCAATGAACCGCGGGAAGTGAGTTGTTTCGAGTTATTTGAACGTACTAGCGGTTTTATGTTTCTTCATACAATATACGTGATTGACTTGTGTCTGGGATTTTGATGCGATAGTCGTGACGAATCTTGTGTGACTTTTATAAAGTGTTGGTATAAATATATGTCGGATATATCTATGGTAACAAATATATTGAGTGTTCTGATCGTTCTAGTGAAATATGCTACGTGCTCTCAAGTGACATTTGAATAATAAAAATCGTAAATCCATCGTATTCGAAGTGAGTCTAAATATTTAAAATAAAAGGAAGAAGATACTTCCGCGTGTGTTTTAATCTCACGGTGTGTGTCTCTCAGTGAACTTGAGTGATTGACAAGTATCGACAGTCGATTGATGCTTGTGGATTATCCCGGATCGGACGAGACTTCCTTCACGCTGAGACGATCGCCCGATTTTTCTTCTGACCAAAAGCAAAAAGGTAAGGAAAAAAGTTTCACTAAAAATTAACCGTTCTCAGTATATTTTATCTGCATTACTCGAATGCAAATTTTCCAAGACGAGTATTACTAGATAAACACCGCGTACTTTGCTGACGTGTAAAATAAATAAAAAAGAAGAGCATATCGACGGGAAGTAATCATGCCGAGGCGATAAAACTGCATTCCGTTACCGAGTAATAGGCCGTCCTTACGAAATCCAACTCGTTCGAAAACTCGTACGGTGGAAACATAAAATAAAATACAGAAAAGTAAGAGAAACAAAATTACAAGACTGGTCAGTGTCGAGTGTCTATGGGGGTTTCTGGTCTCGATCGATCTTCAAATTAGCTTCGTTAATAAGAGCTTTGGCGGCTGAAAGGGGGTGGAAGAAGGAGTCTGTATCGATGGGTTCGAAAAAGATTCCGTTTTGAGACAACAATGGATCGTGACTCGAGGCGGAGAGTTCAACACACAGAACACAGAGTACAAAGGAGGAAAAGAGAAGACAAGAGTAATGCGTAAGAAAAACACACAAGAGTGGTATACCATTATGGTGGTACGAGGGTGTAACGTTCGACAGGGACTATTTTTTCTTCTATTTACTGTATATATATACACCATGACGACTCGGGGGTACCCCATGAAGCACGAACAACAACAATTTCAACACCGACTTCTGGCATCTTGCGACACAACGACAATAGTCGGGCTGTACTCGCCTTCTTTATTCTCTATTTAATTAACGGACAACGAGATCTTTGAGACTTGTGTTGTCGGTTGTTTCGAAATGGCTGACGAACTTTTTTTAATTCATTCTTTTTTAGAATTCATGTGACTCTGATAAAGGAGTCTATTAATTCTATTATCTCTGGAACTTTTTTTTGCTTCCTTTCGACGGTTTAATTTATCGTGAGATTTTAACGTTACGAATAGATTTTAATTTACGAAGATTTTTTTACGGCGTAGTATTTTTTGGTAATATTATCCCTGCGTTTATGACGAATAATTTTTCGTGGCCATGAATATCCGAATAGGCGTAGATTTAACTTCGTTCTGTAAATACTAATTGGCATTGTCGTTGCTAGCTTGCGATATAAATCGTTAAATGGAGGTCGTCGTGTTCTTATGGGATATTTTGCATCGGTGGGGTCTGCGCGAGAGACACGTGGCTTCACTGGGACAATACGGGATGCTTTTGTGGGATAAGAATTTCGTCTCTTTCTTTCTTATTTAGGTTGCGTAGTACCATTGCCAACGACATAACAAGATAGGGAGACACCATAAGCTGCTATTTAATGGTGGTATGGCGTGCAACCCTACAATAATTCTAGACACTAATTTATTGGCACCGGGTAGAGGTCTCGTTCTTCTGGCACGCCATTGGCATCTAATTCTTAGGGGGTGGACAGTGGGGGAGGTGGATGACGAGTAAAAAGTTCGCCACGAAGTACGTTACGCGGGTGCTAACGAAATGAAGAATTTGTGAAAAAAAATCTAAAAATTATGATTCACCCTTAGGAATTTTTTTTCAAAATTATCTTCACTCCCAAAATTCGAAATACAAAGAATTCATCCTGCGCAGCAACGAATTTACTCGAGTATCTGTATCCCGTGTGATTTAATTAGGCGCCGTTAATTAACCTCGAGAGTCGAAGAAAGGGATTATCGAGATGCTGGTTAGTCGGATATCGATTAATCTCGAGCATTGATATTTTTTTTTCTTTGATTGGTACCCCCGTCTCCTTTTCGTATTGTCGACTCTCCCCGACCTTCGTCATCTTGCCAGGAAGTCTCTCGTTACGGCTAATTAATCTCATTACGTGGAATTCATGCCGATTAACGGGCTAATAGCTTTCACCGAAGATTCATACGGATAGTGCGTGTAGCTGGGGATGCGAATATAATTGGGAATATAGGACAAAAATAATAATAAGTTTTAAAAAAATCTCCGAATAGCGCGACGAGCAAGCGAAACGTTGATTATGATTATAATTAAAATTTTAGGAAAAATAATTGAACCGGAAGTTGATCGACGGGACGAAAAATAATTTTAACTAGTCTCACTGTCACGTGGACGGATTAAATATCGAGTGCCGGGAAGGTGGACGTATCATAATGAAAAGTAATCATTCGAATTGTAACCAATCGTGTCGCAGTATAATAATTGACCTCGAGCGTGACGAGAAAACCTAATTACACTTTGGTATAATTAGACGGTAATTGAATCCTGCGTAGGTAATACTTTACCGTGATACGTGTGCACGTAGGTTCCCTTGTGTTTAGCAGCAGCCTCAGTTTACGCTTGTTTAACGTTACGGTGAGTCTGGCAAAAAAATGGAGCAACAAGTATCAAATGAAAATCACTATCGAATCGCAGTAATTTTATTCCCGGGTATTTTTGAAATTTTTTTTGGAAACAAAAATTTTTTTGCTTATCAACGTTTTTTTATAGTTTTTCGAATTTCACACGTCTAATCCGATCCAGACACTCTTTGACGTACCTTCCACGGGGGTCCGGACCAGATACCCTTTGTCAGGTTTTTGTCTGATGTATCATTCTTGCGTTGTGGGTACTTTTTTTTTTGAATTTTTTTTTTCACCCATCTCCGCCTTTGGCAATTGGCGGGACTCTTAAGGTTCGTCGAGGTTGCCGAGAGGAGTGATGTTGGACCTGGCAAAATGCAAGGTAGTTGGGAGTATAGGGTGCAGTATAGTAAAGTGCAGTAAGATGCAGCGCAGTGCACTGAATCGTAGGACGAGTATGTAACGTGTAGAAAAAATGCATATAAGACGTGAAGATAGGAAGGAGGGGTGAGTAAGAGGGTTAAAGGGGACAACGGGAGGGGAGGCAAGGTAGCTACATCGGGGCCTTACCTTTTTGAGCTCTTCCTTTTTAGGGCCCTTTTAAGAACCGGTTCGATCCAATAATAATTCGAGGCTCGTGCCCTGCCTGCTTCGATCGGCCGCTCGGCTCGTTTATTCTCTTTATTCCATGCACGTTGCATCTACCTGCATCAGGAAGACGTAGCCAAGAAGGCCGGCATTGATGATAGGGTAGTTTTTTATTAAGAGAAAGGGGATGCAATTTTTTTTTTTTTTCATTTCTTTACTCGGCTGTAAATGGGGATGAAAGGTTGATAAAAATTCTAGGCTGTCTGTTATACCTTGCGCTTCTGGGAAAAGGGGCGTGTTTCATTGTTTTTCTTTAACCTGATGCAGTTTATCGTTGCAGGTCGGTGCATAGGATTTTGGATTTATCGAAATTTTTTTTTTGGTTATTATTACGGTATACTTGAATTTCTCAGACTTTTTATAGACTCTTTTATTATTTTGACACGGTAATTGATGGTGGACTGGAAGTTGGCGTACCGTTTTTGAAAATGCCATTTTTGAGGAGGGGGGGGAGAATGACCGAAGTTTAAAAAAAATATCAGGATCCATAGAAATGCATCGGATGCGAAGTTCAGGTATTTTTTGGATTTTATCACATGAAATCCTAACTTCACGATAGCATAAAATCATCCTCTGTGCGTTTAATCAAAATCTAATGAATTCGGGTGCATCCGAATGATATTTGCACTAGACTCGTCATATCCCAGTCCATTCGTTCGGCTCATTAGCGATCGTTAATTACAGTTCGATTGTCGATATTTAGTTTACTCCTTTTTTTTTAACAGTTACATGCATTTCTGCGCACACGTTGCTTTTTTTTTATTTTGCATGGGTCGTCCTATGTTCTTCTCTCTCTCCGATGCACGTGCAGGGTCTGTTACTCTCGCTGCTGCTCTGTTAATTCCCCTTTGCAATTCTACTGTCGTGCCAACCCTGTATGCAGTTGCATTTATTGCAGCCGTCCGATCGAAACGAGTTTGCATTCGTCACGTAGCGGCGAATAACATTTGTCGGCACTTTGCGTCTATTTATTTGTTACGTGACCAGGTAGATACTTTTTTTTTCTTTTTTTTTTTTCGAATACGTGAAAAAGTGCATCGCCAACACTTACGCTGCATCGCAGTGCCGATAAATGTTACGGAGTTGGAATAAATATTATTTACGAAAATTACGGAAGCAGGCAAATTCTTTAATTTTCAGGACACCCTGTACCGATGGTCCGCGAATATTTAGCATAAGTGCATCGAGGTGCATCCGTGCGTTCTTCGTTCTCTCCGGCGGCCTCGAAATATTTGGTCGCATAATCGCTGCACTTTAGCTAAGAGAGGTGCAACTGCATGAATATTCAGGAAAAATCTTTCCGTCGCGAATTCAAGCGGGCAACGCGCGGGACGCTTGGCCGAGCTGCAAAAGTGTTTGACACTGTTTGAAATTAAAAAAAAGGAAAAATGCATCTGATAAAAAGTGCATTTAAAAAAATGCATTAAATATCACGGCTGTTATCAATGATACCGTACACGTTAGCTCTACAGGACAATGGATAAGCACTTTCAAAAGTGCCAGTGCAGTTGCACTCGATTTTGTGCATTTATGAATATTCATAAGACTGCATGTAATAATTCACACGAGTGCATCGGATGCACCGTCGACAGACTCTCCAAATAATAAAGCAATAATAGGACACTCGAATCCAATAAGTAATTGAGGTTAAATCGATTCGTCGCTAACGAATAATTTTAATTCCAAGATAATTACAAAATTGTCATCGTGAAAGTGCATCAGTTTTATTATTATTATTATTTTTTTTTATTACTCTTTCATCTCCCATTAATATTGCAATGATAAACGGGCCCGCAAACCCGTCATTTAATTCGCTCGATACGCGAACCAAGCGTTTCTCATTATCAACCCGATCAAATGACCTGCATCGCTCCAATGCACCGGCGATGCACTTCCGCAAAGAAAATTCTCTCGTTACTGGTTCGCTATCGCAACGATGCATCGCGATGCACGTGAACGTGTATTCAGCTAGAGATACGGTTGCCACCCCCTCGGTGATCCCGCCGAATGCATTTTCTTTTTTTTTTTTTCTTCTCGAGACGCTCTC